ATGCAAAATCGGGATGTTTCACAAGCATGTGCAATCATAAGAACTAACAGATCATTTAACTCATATGTAACATACTGTCGTGCTTGTATACCAAAAGGATTATAAAATAAAACCAACACACAAACATAAATTTCCAAAGAGCTATGTGTGGGTTGAAGACTGCTTTTGTTCCGTTTTTCTACTTTAGATGTAATGCGTTATCAAAAATTTAATAATGCCTTTTTCTTGACTCATGAAAAAGAACAGTTATTTGCAGCTGTTTTATTTATCCATTTCTTATTTTGCATTTTGTCATTTTGTATTCCCATCTACTATTTTAAATTTGCTATTCTTTCTGTTCTTGCACAACTCCTATTTTAGGCAGTATGAATCTTTCTTGTACTTTTTAATGGTAAAGCCTATTCATTCAAGTAATAGGTTTCATTGTTTATATTGATCTCGAATGTTTTAATTGTCTTGGCTTCTCTGAACTCTAAAAATACCAGTTGACATTTGAAAAGCACTTTTGCCAAGTAGGCATTTAAAACTATGGATTACAAGAGTGCTAAGGTGTCACTGCAACAGAGGGAGTTAGGTGCTTTCAAAAATCCCATTAAGCCATTATCTGTACCTTTAAATTTCAAATCAGTTCTAGTTAAAAATCTGCTCTTAGCAGAATTAAATAGTCTCAAGCTAAGGAAGGCATAATATTTAAACATATTTACAATAAATACCTAGCATAACAAAAATACATCCTTCTTGAAATACTCATTTTACCTGTCCTCCACAAGTTCTGAGCTCAATCAGCTAGTCACAGCACCGTACACATCTTTTTACTGGTAGTTTTAAGATAACAGTCTTTACTAATATGTATGACAAATACCAATTTTAAGTTGTACAGGCACTTCATTCTTAAATTCTGTAAGAAACCAAACACACACAACTTGCTTTTGAGACTTCAAAACTTATTTTTTCAGACAGTTTGCCTTTGGACAAGTTAGTCAAAAGAGAAACTCTTGGACTATCTGATGAAGACAGCAAGTCTAATAACCAACAAACTATGAAATACTTAAGGAAAGGGCTTTTCTCCTAGTAGAAAAAGGTTTCTGGAGAGCAGGAGGAAGAAGGTAGGTGGGAGACATAAGAGTGTTAATCTTCAAGCAATTTTCCCTTCCTGGTATTCCGTGAATCTATTCACAACAAGAATTTGTACAGGAAAGAGCTTGAGAGTTTGTTCTGAATCCCCACACCACCTTCAGCCTAAATTAGTTTTGAAGGAAGTTTTCGAGGAGAAAAACATTTCTGCTCCAGATGAAACCGTAGGACAGAACCCCAGATACTAGCTATAAATTCTGTTCCTATGTTTGTGGAAATACACAGTGCAGAGCTCCCTTTTTAAACTACATCCAGAGAAAGTCTTTCAGCAGTTACCCAGGAGACAGGTTCCCAAAGAGGCCTTCATACCTTGTGAGATTCTCCACACCATGTCAAAGGGCCAATAGTCATGTGTTCTTCTCCTATGTTCTCTCCTCCTCCTGCAACTCCTGTATCTGTACTTGTCTTCCCATTAAATTTTGGCTTTCTTAACTTTTACTATTTTTCTACTCTTTCTACCTGCTTCTCCCTGCTTTGTCTTCCCCTGCATCTCTCTCCCCTTTTTATTAACTGATCCTTTTTCTCCCTTTTCCCTTCCTTTCCATTTTTTCTTTCTTCCTCCCCCCCAAGTTCATCTGAAAAAAAAACCCTACAGTATGTCTTAGCCCATATTGTAAGCACAATTTCAGTGATGCAGTTTTAAAACTGGAGGATATGGCTGTGTCGGAAAAAGCATACAACTAGGGACCATAATTCCTGCTAAAAAAGATCTATGCTGAGAGGATACAAAGGCTTATGGTATCGCTTTTGAGTTCAAGTAATACTGAATCAATATGTTACTGAGGCACATCGCTCGCTCACAAAAAGCAGCTGGCACAAAGCCTCAAAAAGGAGCTCAGGAACAACTGTTTCAGCCCAATAACTCTCTTCAATCACCACATGAGAAGTGGTAATACAGACATAGGCAGTTGAGAAAGATGTAGCCTATGTAAACAAATGGCAAACACATTTGAGCTTAGCTACGTGCAAGTAGTAAACTACAGAAGAAAAATTTGATGTCTCAGTATATTTTCAAAATTGACAGAACAGATCTGGAAGGGTAACACATAAGAACATGGTAGAACATTTCTATAAGAGGGCACAGTTTGTTCACAAAGAACAAAAAAGCATGGTGTTGTACTGCGCATCAAGAATGTGTAAAATCCTGTGATCCAGACTGTAGGCAGGCAGATTTGCTGGAAACCTCTGGATAACAGCAGACCATTAAAAATAGGAAGACAAACTACGTAAGCTTTCCCCCCCCCCCCCCTCTTTTTTTGAGAATAATGTCATGTCTGGGCAGGTCTTTTTTACTTTTAACAGGGGGATAAGAACCTAGAGAAAGACATAGCTGTTTGTCCTGCTATATTTCTAATTAGTTTGAAAGATGGCTTTTAGAAGTTTGAAAATGTAAAGGCAGAAGATAATTTGGGCAACAGTACTCATGAAACACACAGTTTAAAATTCTTGTAACAGTAGAATGAAAGCAATGAATTTCAAGAAAGAGATCCCCTGGGAAACAGGATAAAGTGAAGTTAAGGAGATCTTTAATTGCACTGCTAATTTTTCCTGCAAGAACACTACAATTTCATAGAAACTAAATCAGAAAAA